GGAACAGGCTGCCCAGGGCAGGGCTGGAGTCACCGTCCCTGCAAGTGTTCACAGCCCGTGGAGCCGAGGCCTCAGTGCCAGGGGTCAGTGGTGGCCTTGGCACTGCTGCAGTAAAGGTTGGACTGGATGAGCTTAAAGGGCTTTTCCAACCTGATTGATTCTGTGATTCTAAAAATAATAAAATGAAACCATTAAATTTGTCAGATTGGAAACTGCTCAGAATTGTTCATCTGGGGGGACAGTTTAACTTTTTCCTTATTCATGGTGAGAGGTCAGGTCTTGCAGTTTTAGACATGGTGAATGTTCAGGGTTTTTCTAAGTTGTAGTAAATGTTTGAAAATAGGTATTGTGAAAGATGCTTCTGTCAGTTTGAAAGCCTCAGTGGACACTCCATACTGTTTAACAGTATTTTACATTTATTTAGGTTCCTCAAAAGAAGGAGGAGCTGGAGCTGTGGATGAGGATGATTTTATTAAGGCATTTACAGATGTTCCTACTGTACAGGTAAAGAGGCTGTGTACACTCATGTTTCTTTGGAGAAATATGCTATTTGTAATACTGTGTGTTAGCCTACTTTCAAAACTTTTGTAATTTCACTGTCTTCTAAGCAAGTGTTACTTCTCCTAAATTTACAGTTTCTATGGGAAGCTCTTTACTATGGGAAGCTCCAGTTAGTTACAAAAACCACCTTCTTTTTGTTAGTGTCCTATTAATTATCACGTTGTGTTTCGGCTAAAATACATTATTCTTAATCTTTTCCAGGGGATACTGCAAATAATTTTATGTTTTAATTTTAATAAGGAAAATATTTCCATAATGTTTGAATAATTTAGGACTGCAATTTTAAGGCATAATCAAGTAGTAACAGTATAGGCAAATACTTTACAAAGCAAGAATTGTATTTTCAAATGTGCCTGAATTGTAATGACGTGCATCTGGCATATGTGTCCTCATCTGTAGCAGTACTTCAAAAAGAGAAATGTAGTGCCTTATTTAAATACTAATGAACCTGTTGGATTCTGAGTTCTTAGTTGAAAGATCAGGCTTTGATTTCTGTTCTTTAAGTGTGGGAATTGTACGTATTTGGTACTTTCACACGGTTGAGTCATTTAACTTGCTTGTATCTTCCCTGACCTATTTTGAGTAAGTTTTTCTTGAGCAGCAGAGGTGTGGAAGACAACCGAAAACTCAGTAAGCCATAGCTCCCAAACACCAGAAGGGTTTTGTACGACTTCTTTTTCGTGATATGTACTTTTGTTCTATTTTTATTTCCTAAGATGATAGCATAGCTATTTGTTAGATCTCCTTCTGCAGGCAGAAATACTTTCTGCTTTTATGAAGGAACACTCTTAACTCCAAGATCACTTCAAGATCTTTGTCTTATACTGTGAGAGTTTTATGGTTTTTTGCCTCTCCAAAATTCAGAATTGTTTAGAGGGAAAAACCATGGAGGTCTTAATAATATTTATCCCCATTATGTTGAACAAAGCCATATTCCACAGTGCAGAAGATGTGCTGCTTGTAGTTCAGTGCTGTAGTATTTGCAGTCCCAAGCAGACTTCTCTAGTCACTGCAGCTGGCTTATAGCATTGCAAGAACAAAAGTGGGGTAACTCTATGTTGTTGACCAGCATATGTGATTTTTCTGACTGCTAGATGACCTCGCATCCCTAAACTGCAAGAGGTGGAGGAAAAGGCACACTTGTCTTTAGTAACCTCCTTTGAGTTGAGGTGAGGAGGCAGAGGAGAAACGTGTAACTGGCCCCAAAATAACTCGCTTATTTCGTGGATGAGAATGTAAGAAAGACCTGCTGACTAGGAGGTCTTGGGAATAATGATTTCTTGCTGTCCAACTTCTTGCTTCTGGTTGTAGAAAACTAGACTGTATTTGGAATAATTCCTGTAGTAACTTCAAGTTGCCCAGGAAAATAAGGTATTTTGTAGAAAATGCATGTTCATTTTAAGTTTAGAACAGAAGAAAGATGTTCCTAAATCTTAATACAATTAAAGATACATACATACATGCAGAACTGTGTGCTCAAGAGACCAGTGGCAAAGCTTTTCAGCCATTCGTGCAAAGTGTCCTAACCTTTTGCTTCCCCTGCATTGTATGTGCTCTTGCATATACAAAAATTGTAAATAAGTCATGAGGGAGCATCAGGCACGACTATTAGTTGTCATGCTGGCCTGAAGCTTACACTCTAGAAGGGTATGAGTTTCCTTTAAGTCCTGAATTATATTGGCCAGCCCCATGTGGATATTTTCACTGCGTGGATGGCCCCAGATGCCTGTGTATGGGTAACTGAGTTTTGCCCAATGTGTTTATGTAAACAATTTTTGATCCAAACTATTGGAAATCTTTTGCTGAAAATATGTTTTAGAAAAAACTCTGGGCGGATCAAGTTTCTGGTTAGTGTTCGCTTCATTCTGTCTTCAACTTGTTCTCAGTCTGGGGTGAGGGAACTTTAAATTTTGCATCTGCAGTAGAAGCAGGAAAGAGAACAGAAGGGAAGTCAGTTTATTTCTGATGTTAATAACAAATCTTCTTGACTTGATTTTTTATTTAGAAATGCCGTGTTGTACATGTACAGTTATCAATAAATGTATTACCACATAGTGACTGATGCATGGTTAGATGGGTCAGGCTTCAGTTTTGCTGGAGTTACTGCATGGCACGAGCTCTGGAGGCTGCTCCTTACCTTTACATACTGACTGCCTAAGTTAATAAATGGTAGGCTCGGAGTAGTAATGCACATAGAAGCTGCTGAAGCTTTTAATATGTGTTTTCAGACAAGTTTTTGTTTTGGTGTTGACTGGCCAGCCCAGTTAGAGCCTCGCAGAGCTGTGCACTGTTGGAATGCAGGAGAGACTCCCTGCCCCAAAAGAGTTGTATCGGGTTAAAATCTGTCGGTTGAGTTTCATTAGGTGAAATCTTGAGGAAAATGTAGATTCTTCAGCTTTTCTTTTAATGACTATTCACTGCTCAGTGCCCTTTAAAAGCCCATTTATACCTCTTAGGCAGTTCTCTGGAACTTTGGGGGCAAGAGTTTCATAGTTACTATTATATTTTCAGTCTCCTCAACTTACTTTCCTTCAGGTTAGCTGGATATTGACAGTCTTATTTTTCTGTTTGTTTGTTTAATACTTCAGATCTATTCTAGTCGAGAACTTGAAGAAACATTGAACAAAATCAGGGAAATTCTCTCGGATGACAAGCATGATTGGGATCAGCGAACTAACGCGGTAAACGTGGGCAGTTTCGGGTCTGGGTGTATTTCAGAAAGGAGAGTCAGCTGGATGTTTTAAACTGTTCTTCTTAAAGCAAGAGTAATTGAAGATAATTGAAGACGTTTTCCTTCTCAAACCTCGCGTCTGTATACTGAATGAGTTTGAGCAAGTATTTAAAAAAGGACAAAATAAATTTTTGCTGACATTTAAGTGGAAGCTTTTCTAAAAGCCATCATGTCATTTAAGTTTCAGCTGACGTTATAGAATCATGGAATGCTGAGGGTTGGGAAAGACCTTAAGATCCTAATACCAAGCCCCCTGCCAGGGGCACGGACACCTCCCACTGGACAGTGTTGCCCAAGGCCCCGTCCACCCTGGCCTTGAACACTGCCAGGGATGGGGCAGCCACAGCTTCCGTAGGCTTTTTTTTTGGTGCAAGCCTGTATATTGTGCAGGTGAACTGCTGGCAGCCGTGCCTCTTTGGTGTGGCTCTAGGAAGTTTCACTTGCAGGATTAAAATGTGTGCATGTAGCATTTATATTTTTTATCAGGTTTATGACACCTTAGTGTTCGGAAGCAGATGCTTGAACAGCGTTTATGTGTTGGTACATTTGTAGACAGGGGTATGAGACTTTTTAGCTGTAGAGTTTAAGTAATAGAATTTTTTTGTGTTTTTTAAAATTACCCCCACATATTTCAAGGTGATGCTTTGCTTTGAGTTTGAATTTTGAAAGCATTTTCTTGGAAGGAAGTTGTTGCTTTCTTATTTCACGTTGTGTATTGGTGGTGTCCTAAATGAAATGCCTTACGGTTTTTTAGCTGAAGAAAGTTCGGTCGTTGCTTGTTGCTGGAGCTGCACAGTATGATGGATTCTTCCAGCATTTACGTTTGTTGGATGGTGCTTTCAAGCTGTCGGCCAAGGACCTGAGGTCCCAGGTGGTTAGAGAAGCCTGCATTACTGTAGCGTAAGTACTGCTTCCGAGCGCTCGTGTATGGTGCTGCATTGAATGATTTATTTGACTTCAAATGCCTTAGCAGCGCTGCAGGTAAGGGTACCCTGTGGGGCTGCTGTGCACTATGACTGAGAAAGAATCAAGTCAGTAGCTGAAGCTAGAGAGAAAAAGAAACATTTAAAGGGATTTGCTCTCTTAGGGCAGATACGTCGTTGATAACCCTGTAACAGATTGTACGTTACACTGAGTACTCCCAGCAGTTTGTATTAACTTGCACTGTAATCCTAGGGGCTAGTCTTGGGAGCACTCACGCTTTGGTGACTGGCACAGGACTTCACTGTGACTACTTGTAATAACAGCAAAGCGAGCTGCCCTATGGTGGTCTGAATATTGCACGTTTTGGTGAGCTGGTATCATTCATGTCCACGGTAATTTTAGAAGCTTTCACAGAAATAAGGCTCCACAGAAATAAGACCTTCACCCTTGTCATCTTGGGCACTCACTGAATTTAAGGACAGGGGTAAAGACACCATTGCTACCTTGGAGACCTGTTGGAGCGTACAACTGTCCTTGCCAGGAGGTCATGGCTTTGAGAAAGTAACACTAACCTTTCCTAACATGAAGTCAGGAGTAGTGTTAAAAGTACTGTGGAAATGTTCTTATCCATGGTTAAAAGCCTGTAATTTTTCTTGATCCCTAAAACTTAGATACATTTGATGTGTCATTTGCTGCTGACTGCAAATTCTTTATATGTATGGAGCTTCTGCATGGAAAAAGTGTTGTTTGTCACCACTGGACAGTTAAATTACTGTGTGTTGTATGTGTTTGTGTATTTGCCAAAATTGAAACCATAACCTTTAATAAACAAGGGAGTCAAATGTTATGGTTGGCTCATTATGATAAATTCAGTAGTTTTGCCTGTATTCAAAAGGAAAAAATCTCAAACAATAATTTTCATAAGATTTTAGATCTATGTATGTCAAAAAGCATGTCCAAAAAGCAGAAGTACTATGATATTTTGTGTGGACGTGAGAATTTTAGCCTTTCAAATCATGGTATTTCTTTTTCATTGCAAAATAAAGTTATTACTGTTCACCCTTTTAATTTGTCTGCTAAGTAGCAAAAATGTTGCACAAATCCTGCATTTCTAATGAGGTGAGGACTTGGGAATCAAGAAACTAAGTTCTGTTCTTCTGAAAGATAGATCTTTAAAATGTACAGTCAACTTTGTTATTTTAAGACTAAGAAATTGGCTTTTGTTAACAAGTTTTATTTCTTTTTCCTAAACAGCCACCTTTCAACTGTTCTGGGAAACAAATTTGATCATGGGGCTGAAGCTATTGTGCCTACTCTTTTTAACCTGGTTCCCAACAGCGCCAAAGTGATGGCAACTTCTGGGTGTGCAGCCATTAGATTCATTATTCGGGTAGGTGTTCCTCTCTCACTTTGCTTACTGGGAGTATTCACATAGTGGCTTGTAGCAGAGATAATAACATTTCTGAAATAAAGGATTGTAAATCATTCTATAATGGAAAAATAATTTTATGTCACAGGTGGACAAATATTATTTATCATTGAAACCAGCTGGCAGCATTATCATAGTAAAGATGGAGGAATAGGTGTGAAAAGCAAGTCTGTTTTCATGATTTGTTCGTAATGTGTTCATTGTAAGAAAGGCAAATGTATGTCAAAGGTAAGTGCTTCTAGTGCCTTTTTACAAGACAAAGTTAAGCTGGTAGTTAAGGAGCTAATAAGATTTTTTATTTTTTTTTTAACAGCAACAAAACAAAACTTTATCATGAACTCCATGGTTCCAATTTGGTTTTAATATGATGTTTGTTGGGTTTTTTTCTTATAAAAATAAAGTGTGAAGAGGCCGGGAACATGCAGATCAGTTCAGAAAGTACCAGTTCATGGAAGAGAAGCCCCATAGAGATTTTAATCCTTGGGTTTAAGAAGTTTATAAGCTGAGTCCTTAACAGCTCTAGCATACAGATGAGAGGAATACTCTATACGAGCTGTTTTTCATTGTCTGTTGCTTAAGCATCTGCTACTGCTTGGTGTCTGAGGCAAGATGTTTAGCTAGATTTTTGGGTCTTGTACTGATATTTTCAAATAGAAGTGAGATGTTGCCTATAGTTTCTACATGAAAAGCTGTGGTGTTCTTAGTGCTGGGCACTTACTGGTATTCACCACGATCTCATCCATTGTTTTAATTGTTTAGGTTGTTGGAAAATGAAGTGGTTTCATCACTCACACCTTTTATTGCCATCCTTAGTATGTTTTGGAATCTGTACTTGGTCTGGCTATGACTCTGAGAATGTGCTCTGAGACTTCTGCATTACCTTTGCATCGACACTCAGGCTAAGATCCATTGGTACTCTTAAAATGTGCAGTGAGATGCCTGATGGCACAGAGTTGAGAGTGGAGGGAGGAATACACAGTGTGATCAAAGTCACAATATAATAACAGCATGTGTAGTAGTAGTAGACGAGCTCAGGCATATAAGAAACTAACCCTGTCTTGTTGTTTACGGGAGCAAATCAAGCATCAGAAAAGCAGCATGAAATAAAAATTCACTGACTAAATTAAATTTGCTTTATTGGTTCAGGTCAGCTGGAGGCAAACCTGCACATTGGCTATAGCTGTCCTGATCTTGTTTAAGCTTCTGTTACTCTTAGCTGTAATTTAACGTACTAGATTGGAGACATAGAAGTGAGAAATCCGACCCATGGTGTTCAAATACCCAGCCAATAAAAGATGTACACAGGGTGTTCTGGCAGAAAATTCAGTTTTCAGTAGGAAAGGAAAAAAAGAAAGAAGTACCAGAGTCAAATGAAGCGCACCCCATGCTCCTCTGGACTTGTGTCCTTTGGACTAAATGAGAGTTGGTCAGGGAATGTGGCATCAGTTGAATATTTAAGAGCCCAAGCCATTGCAGCTTTTGCAGTTAGCAGTTTACTCAAAAGCTCCCACCAGAATCCCCTGACAGCAAGTTCAGCTCCTGGCACTTTAGTACCCAATTTGCTGTGAGAGAGTCTACAGAAAAAGAGGGAGGCTGTATTGTAGCAGGGATCTTGAAGAGCCCCATCATCTTAGTGCCTTTGTTGGATTTCATCTTTCTTCTTCAGATAGTTCTTACTGTACTCTGACTTCCCTTTCTTGACTCCTGACTCTCAAGAAACCAGTTTAAAAGGGGAGGGGGGGTGTCCTGATGGGATGGCACGGTGGCAGAAAAACACTTCCAGAGGGAGGAGGGATTCAGGTTGGGCAATTGAGCTGGCAAGTGGGTTGGGAGGAAGCATATATCATTATAGCTTCAAAGGGTAGCAGATGAAATGTGCTGCCTGAAAGCGGAATGAAAGCAAGCCTGAGGCTTTGATTCCTTCGCAGAACACTTTCTAGAAATGACAGTGTCAATAGCTCCAAAGCCTTGGAACATATAGGTTTCACCATCTGTAAAAACATTTTATTCTTTCCCGTGTTACAGCTTATTGTTCCCTTTCTGGCAGTCTCATGCTGCTTTTCAAATGGAAAACTATGCAAAACACAAACCCTAAAACCATGTGCAAAAGTGTATCAGTACAAGCAAATGCAACTGTTGGGCTCTTCCAGATTTTTGGATTAGTTCTCTCCCACCTCTGAAGTTGGAAGTACTCTTGAGAGCCCATAATCATCTCTGCTTGTTTGGTGATCTGTGTGTTTACGTAGTGTGGCAACAACCTAGGGGGAAAATATGATACATGAAATAGTAGGAATTGTTCAGCACTCTGCTTTTTGAGCAGATTTTGATAGCCTACAGTTTCACACTGTAGTTGGGACTAGTTCAGAAGTTACCTTATATATTTAATCAAGAAAGGAATAAAGAAATGAACTGAAATGGCTTTGCTGAACCAAGTTACTCTTACTTGGAATTAAAATGTTAATACTTTGTGTCTACAGTTAATTAAGATAAGCTGAAACAAGGTTGCTTTAATTCTGAATTCAAGTATTGCATTTGGATTTCATGTAGTTTATCTTGCCTACTTACCTTACAGTAGTTCAGGTTCTTTTCCCATGAGGATGTTTGGTGTTTCCACATAGCTTATACACATAAGCTTGCTTAGATTACATGTGAATGCTTTAATTTTATTGACATGTTTTGCACTGGAAGGATGATCTTTGTAGCACTAGTAGTATTGATCCCTAAAAGAATGCACATAGTTTCAGATTGACTGGTTTACTTTTACTTCACAGCTGATTTGTAAGACTGCTGTGTCTATGGTTTTTCTTCTGTGGCAAAACTAAAGCAATATCAACTTACAACCCGTTTGGGGAGACATTTGAGCCCTCCTACATGTCTTCTGACAGCTAAATACTACATATCATGATGTGATTGTTGATGGCATTGGAAATGCTTTTTGCTTGACCTTTGGAAAAAGATAGATTTAATCAGTTGACATGCTGGCAGAAGTCTCTTATTAAAGAAACTACATTTAGTTTCAGTAAGCATTTTAAGTGACTGCAGTTTTTATTTGATGGTTAATTTTGACTTAATTAGTGCAGTACAAATTCGGGAATGCTTTTGTCATTAACTGCTTTGTCCTTTTTTTTTATTTAGCATACTCATGTGCCACGACTCATACCTTTAATAACAAGCAACTGTACCTCAAAATCAGTTGCAGTTAGAAGGTGAGTACATAATAAAGAGCAAATTATTAAAGCTGTTTATTTTTCAATTTGATTGTCATATGTTGAAAATAGATTTGAAGATTTGTGGCCATTACCTCAGAATACACAAATCTGTGTTACACAGTAAACTACAAAAATGATTTCAGCAAAGTTAGGTCAGATGCTGTTGAGGAATGGTCCTTTCTGCCTACCTGGGGACATACACTGTATCCTTCTGCAGATCTCGTTCTGATTAAAAGTGTTCCTAATGCTTTTTGGGAAAATTACCTTGATTCAGAACCAGAAGGTAAAAGAAGAAGCTGTAGTTGAATCTGTGGTGCTCAGTCTAATGAGAATAAACAGCACTGGTATGGAGAGGCATTGGCAGAGCATGGAACAGCTACGTGTGTCTCTGCAAAGAACCAGCCTGAGCCCATGAGTTACTGGCTGTTTGGGCCAGAGCTGACAGGGCTTGTGAGCTCTCGTGGCAGCACTGCAGTGTTCTGCATGCACTGTGTGCCAGCACCTTGCTCTCCTGATGCCAGCAGAACTTAGTAACTTCTGTGCCTGGAGCTAGGCTATCTGATGTGTGCCCAAAGGAATAAGCCTGCCATGCTGGGGACTGTGGGACGGGGACAGTGGCTGCTACCTGAGATAGGGTGTGTGGATCAGCGCGTTGTCCTGTCTGAGGGGCACCTTCAGCATCTTGTTTTTTTCAGGGACATGATACTTCAACACTTGGATTGGCTTTTGTCTGTTATTTTGTGGCTAATAAACTAATGTAGTGTATGTGTAATAGCCTGACTCGAGCAACAGGATGGTTAATTGAACCGCATCTGCTTTTTGAAGTTCAGGATGAGTTAGCCTGCATGTTTGCTTTCTCCACAGAATATTTTAACTTTGCGGTAAGGCAACCAGTGCCTTTATTTGACAGATAAAGGTACTTATATTTTATGTATTTGTTTCCCTCAGGGGGAAGGAGTAAAGTTACTGTTCTTTCCACAAGCACATTATAGAAATGAGTATTAATTACAACTTTTTGGTCTGTCTTTCTAGGCGCTCCTTTGAATTTCTAGACCTGTTGTTACAAGAGTGGCAGACACATTCATTGGAAAGGTATGGGCCAGTATACTTTTTCCCCAAAATAAACTACTAATGAATTTTAAGACAGAAATCTTTTCATTGAATCCTTTAATTGGATTATGTTGCTTGGTGTTGGCCGGCATTTCTAGCAGAGGGGAGGGCATGTGGCTTGTTCAAGTACAGGGAGACAGGAGTTGTATAGTCACAGAATCATAGAACAGTTTGAGTTGGAAAGGACCTTGAGATCATCTAGTTCCAACCCCCTGCCATGGGCAGGGACACCTCACACTAACCCATGGTACAGCCTTGACTTTGTGTTGGCTCTTCTCCTTACCCTCTGCCTCTTCTACACCACATGTGAGCATGAGTGTCACTTATGTCATGTATCCTGTGCAGCAGAGATGCACTGGGAAGCTTCTGTCCTTTATCCTGGAGGACTTTTTCTCTTAATGATTAAAAGCACACAGTAGCTTCTCTGGGGTAGACAGGAAAATACTGTGTGCATCAGCTCTGGAGAATGTATCCTGTGAGCACAGAGTAATAGGAAAGGGACCGCAGGACCTCCAGAGAGAGGGACTGAAGAGCTCCTCCAGCTACACAGTTACCCTTCAACCCCTCAAGATGCGCCTGAGAAAGGGAGCAATGGGGAGATCACTTGATTTATGTCAAGAGTGTGTATGCATGTACAAAACAACCCAAAAACAAACACAACCCAAACCAAACCCCTTATCCCCACCCAGAAAGCCCCATTTTGAATTAAAATCTGTTTATCATCACAATTTTTGGTTGTTCTGGTAGGTGCTTTGCTGGTTTTTTGAGTATGTACTGAGATTTAGAACTCACAGGCCAAGAGCTGTCAGAGGTGAATTTCCAGACTTACTAATCTTAACTTTTTCCTTTTTCTTACTACCAATACAGTAGGGAAAATAGCTTTTCCATTTCAGGAAAGCAGATGCCTTAAAAAAAGTATTTTTAAGTAACTTTTTAAGTGTGAGACATGGATGTATGTCTGAAAAGTAGATTATAACTCTTAGACTGAAGGAGGAAGCTTACCTAAACCTTCACAGAAAGTGCAGCTATGTCATCAGTGTGCTGCAGCCTTTGTTTACTTCCTATCTTGGGAGGAACTGTCTCAGCTGGTGTTTGCATTTTAGAGAAATGTCAATTACAGTGTAAAACTTTACTACTTAAAATAGAACGTGGAGTAGCAAAATAGCATGAAGAATGTCTGTCTTCTAGGCACGCAGCTGTCTTGGTTGAAACAATCAAGAAGGGCATTCATGATGCTGATGCAGAAGCAAGAGTGGAGGCAAGAAAGTGAGTTTGGGCTACATTTTGCTCTGAAAAATTGTATGCTTTACATAAGTGATAGAAGGCTCTAATCAAGGTGAGCAGCAAACTGTGGCTGAAGTAGTACTGGACACAAGTAGCTTGAAAATGGATGTTTCTAAATTAATGTCTAGTTTCTTTTGCAGAAGACATTCTGAAAATTGAGGCAGTTGATACTGTCATGCAGCATTTGAGGGTTCTAATGAAACAGGAGCCATAACGGTTGATATTGTTCCATAATCATTCTTTGCTTTCCCCTCCTTCAGTTAAGTCATTGAACAACCGTAGCACTTTGACTAGTGAGAAGGCCAAAAAGAATTTGTCTTGCTTCCCAGTAAGTGAATGTGAGAATTCCAGAGGATAGACTGAAGTTACTTTCAGAAGATTAATTCAGTTAATGTAACTGGTTCCTTTTATGATTTGATAAGCACTATTGTATGCATTCCATATTTTGAGCCCAAGTTCCTTCCCTTCCCATCCCTGTGTCATTCTGTAATCTTTACTTCCTGACTCTGCAGTTTGAAGAAAATATGGAAGAATTACCATGTGGTTACTCTCCTATTTTCAGGGCTTATCTGGGTCTTAGAAATCACTTTCCTAGTGAAGCTGAGACTCTGTACAATTCTCTTGAGCCGCCCTATCAAAGAAGCCTCCAGACCTACCTGAAGAATTCTGGCAGTATTGCATCTCTCCCTCAGTCAGACAGATCATCCTCCAGCTCACAGGAGAGCCTCAAGTAAGGGTCACTTCACTGTTTCTTAGCCTATGAACAAATAATACCTGTTTCTCAAAAGCAAATAAGCCAGGCTTCTGTGGTGTACTGAAAAGCTGCAGTTGTATTTTGTCACAATATTTCTTTTTAGAGTAAGTCTTTCATTGTACTTTGTTGTATGACAGTATTACCCCAGCAAGATGAAAAAGAAGAGCAGTCACTTAACTGCATTTTAGCAGGCTGTTCTTATTCATGTATTTATTCCTTCACAGCTTCTGTTACACCACAGTATCTTCAAGGTTCACTTACTGCTGTCCAGTGTCCTGGTGCAGTGAATGCTTCTAGGAATAGTGTTGTTTCCCCTTTTCTTATTCCTTTTTACTGGGAAGTACAAGGAAGGGAATGGACAGGGAGGCTCATTCAGATCAGAGACTGGTGGGTTTTTCCTGTCTCCACAGTACTGGATATACATTACTAGTATTTTGCAGCTATGCTGGTTACTGGAGGGTGGCTCTGGGCCGCAGTCACTGTAGCATTCAAATGTACACTCTTGAGCTAAACAAATGCAAAGTTTGCTTAGGTACCAATAGCAGTAGAAATCTACTGGCTTTTTAGTGGAAATGCAAAATTGTACGTGGTGATTTTTGTCTTTACGTTCTCGAAAGCTTCCTCGAAGTATTTAAACCTGTTAAGGTGTCAATTCAAATGCTTCATTTCCAAAGCCAGAGAACTTGTCTGCTCTCTTGTGACTTGAAAGCAGGCTGCTTCCAGCATATTGGAAGTTAATCTTTTTCGCTTCTTTTGGCTGCTGCCTCAAATACCAGAGGCTTATCTTATCTTTCCTATGAGACTTGTAATTATAAAAAGCACTTTAAAAATAATTCTGTAATGTAGGCTATTGATAACACTTTATTTTCCACAAAGAAATGTTTATTCAAAGATTGATTACTCTTGTTTAATTTAGTCTATATGCTCTGTCTGAAAATCAGTGCTGTTAATGAGTTATTAGTAATAAAATGTTAAAAACTAAATTACAGGGAAATCAGAATCTTAAAATACTCTTAAATCCTCAAGTGTTACTTCCTTTATTGCAAGATATGTAAAGTGCTACAGTATAGAAAGGGAGGAGTAAAATGAGAGATGAACAGAAGTGACCATAATATTGAAATTAACTCATGTTTGTTTTTTCACTGATTTTGTGTTTAGATGCAAGTTATTTTCTCTGTGTTACCCAAAATTATATTTCTCGCTTCTGATACAGCTGTTGAGTTCTCCCTGTGTAGACAACTTAGGAACTATGGGTATGGTTTCCCAAAAGTCTGATCCTCCATAGTTTTTGACCCTCTGAACTTACAGGTCTTAGAAATCAATGATCAAAACTGGTTTTAAAAAGGCCAGTGGAATGAGAGAAGTGCAGTTACTTGTGCCTACCTACATGAAACTGCTTCAGTGAAATGTCACTTGCAGTAGATTGTAATAGCTGTGTGGGCCTTCTGTGCCCACACCTTTCATACGGTCAGGATAACCCAGGAGCTCTGCCTCAGCCTCCTCAACTTACCTGCAGCAAAATGCCTCCAAACCACTAGTGAGTAATGGCAGACAAGCAGGTATTACTCACAATGAGCTGCAAATACGTGATCTTCTCTGAGAAGTTAGGTGTCAGTGCTGACCTCTGGATTGTCATTGAGCACCTGAGCTAATAACTCAGTTGAATACACAACATGAGGCATCTCTTATATCTGCTTTCTGGTTTAAAATTAGAGAGGGATTATTTTTACTGAAGCTGAGTCTCTAGACTGAGGTGCTAATTTGGTTATTGATGACAGAGTCAACTATTTCAGCAAATACAAACCTTCCTGGTCAGATGAATATTTAGATTGCTACGTAGGAATCAATGAATAAAGCATCATGCTTTCTTCTAATAGTCTTTTTCTTCTCCCTGGTCCCTCTGCCTGCATTTTACCCTTCTGAAGCAGGCAGGAGGAAGGGCTCACAGTTAAACCTGACTAGACAAAAAGGTTCTGCTTCAGCAGCTACTCTTTTTTTGCAGTAAGAGTAAAGGAAAATGGAGAGAAAACACGGAGAAAAAGACGTGGGGGTTTTCTCCTTTTATAAATTGTGGGAGTCTCTAGCACTGAAACAGGGGAAGTGCAGTCTAGCTGCTTACAGATTCAACATTCTCCTTTTTCATTCGTAACTTAACTCTTGTGCAGCTTCCACCATTCTTGTTTGACAGCTGACGTGTAGGATCAGCCCTGTGCTTAAAACTTTGTACTGACCATGCCTGGCATGCCTGAACCTTGTGTTAGCCAAGTGTGCCTGTTGGTAAACAAAGAGCTAATGCTTTGTGAAGAAAATGGAATTTTATACAATATAAAAGATAAGATGATTGTGTTTTTCTTATCATTTTGTATTTAATGTGCTTATCTAAAACATGCTGAGAAAGCTGAAGGGGAGAAAAGAACAGAAGATTTTTTTTTTTGCCTCTTTTATTGTTACCTTTTGGATCTGATGTATGAGACTTACGGGTTTGTTTTGTTGGGTTTCTTTTCCAGTCGGCCTCTATCTTCGAAATGGTCTGCAGCCAACCCAGCAAGCCTGGCAGGCAGAGGTGAGGTGGTTGCAGTATAGTGCAGCGCACAGCAGTTTTCTTTCTGTTCTTTGAATTAAAAGCTTTAAATGTGGCTTAACATTTTACTGTCTTAAGCTTTTCCCCTGTTTACAAGCTGAACAATGGTACGTGTCACTACAGACTGCACCTGGAACTAAGGCTGCCTCATACTTGCTTCATGTTTTATGTATTTCCAGTTGCTGCAATTATAGCTCACAGATGATCGATTAGTAGCAAATTGGCTTGGAGTAAATCATAGAACTCCTTTTTACAAATGGCCAGTAGCTGAGGGTGCTTGTTTTCTGCATACTGAGACAGTAAATCGGGAGTCAGGTTTTGAAGACAGAAAACAATGGTTAAAATTTATGGAAGCAAATAGTTAATATTCAGCACATAATAGGAGGTGAATATAGAAATACTTTACTGAAGATGAGACCCTAAAGCAATTCAAGGTAAGCGTTCAGCCTGCTGGTGGCTGTATCTCAGCTGAAGTGTTGGGGATGTTACCTTCCCTCAATCACAAGGGATGCTGTGACTTGCCTTATGCTTGTGAAGCATGCAGTGATAGAATAAATCACATAAATGTTAAGAGTGACATGATTTGTACTAGGGTGAGAGCACATAGTTTGTATTAAACAGTGCTGAAGTTTCATGATGAGTGAAGACATACGCTACTGTAAAATAAATAGTTCTTCATCTGAATTTTAAGGCAATACCAGGTCTAGTTTGTTTCTTAACCTCAATAATACTTACTATTAACTTGACTTACACCTTTTTACATGGCTTCCTGTCCTTTCCGCGGGTATGCTGCGGTGGTAGAGAATGTTAACCTGTTTAATACAATGAATTTCATTCATTGCCGACTGATTTCCTAATCTTTCCTTGCTAGCTTCAGGCAGCAGCAAGAGCGCTGCCGGCCCAGGCGCGCTGCAGAGGTCTCGCAGTGACATAGACGTGAACGCTGCCGCAGGCGCCAAGGCACGCCA